AAAAATGGACCAATGATCTAAATTAGGACCTAAAATATAAAACTCTTGGTAGAAAAAATAGGGGAAAGCTTCACGACAATGGATTTGGCAATTATCTCTTGGATATGACACCAAAAGCATAGTCAACAAAAGTAAAAATAAACGGCACTACATCAATATTTAAAACTGTGTATCAGCCCGGCTGGCATGGCTCAGAGGTTGAGCATTGACTATGATCCACGAGACCGTGGTCTGATTCCAGGTCAGGGCACAAACCTCGGTTTCGGGCTCGATCCCCAGTGTGGGGAGCGCAGGAGGCAGCCAATCAATGACTCTCATCACTAATGTTTCTATTTCTCCCTTCCTCTCTCTGAAATCAGTAATAACATCTTTTTTAAAAAACCTGTGTATCAAAGGACACAGCAAGAGTGAAAAGGCAACCTACAGAATGGGAGAAAATATTTGCAAATATATTTGATAAGGGGTTAAAACTCAGGATATATAAAGAACTCTTACAACTCAACCCTCCAAAAAATCCAATTTAAATAGACATTTCTCCAAAGAAAGTATATAAATTGACAACGAGCATATGAAAAGATACTCAGCACCACTAACCATCAGGAAAATACAAATCAAAACCACAATGCAATATCTCACACTAAGATGGCTACTATCAATAAAACAAGTGATGGCAAGGATGTGGAGAAACTGAAACACCTGTGCACTGCTGGTGGGAATATAAAATAGTACAGCCACGATGGAAAACCATATGGCAGTTCCTCAAAAAGTTAAAAATAGAATTGCCATATGACCTAGTAATTCCAAAAGAATTGCAAGCATATTTGCATAGCCATTACTATGGATTTTGTGTCCCCTCCAGATTCATATGTTAAAACCCTAATCTTGCCCTTGCTCAGTTGGTAGCTCAGTTGGTTAGTGTCACCCTGATACACGAAGGTTGTAGGTTTGATCCCCAGTCAGGGCACATACAAGAATCAAACAATGAATGTGTAAATAAGTGGAACAACAAATCCATGTTTCTCTCTCTTAAAAAAATTCTTTATATACAAAAACCCTAATCCTCAATATGATGGTATTTGGAGATGGGGCCTTTGAGAGGTAATTAGGAAATGAGGGTGGAGCCCTCCTGGCAGGATTAGTGCCCTTNGATGGTATTTGGAGATGGGGCCTTTGAGAGGTAATTAGGAAATGAGGGTGAAGCCCTCCTGGCAGGATAATAAGAGGCAAAATACAGCTTGCTTCCTCTCTCTGCTCTCCACCATGTGAGGAAATGAGAAGATGGACATCTCCAAATCCAGGAGTGGGCGCTCTCACCAGACCCTAGATCTGCCGGTACCTTGATCTTACTAATCCCTCTAGAACTGTAAGAAATAAATGTTTATTGGTTAAGGCACCTAGTCAATGGTAATGTTACAGCAGTTCAAACTTGTTACTGAACTGAAGGGGTTCATTTGCCTGTACACATCAAAGCCCAATAAGACATGAACAGGAGTTTGCAGTCAAGAAAGGATTTTTTAAGGAGATGGTGCCATGCCCAGTCACAGGTAGCTTATGATCAAAGACCTAGTTCCCTGATAGCTTCCAGGGGATGGATTATACAGGGGAAAAGTCACTAATCATGGTGACTAAAGGAGTTATGATCATGGTCTCTACTGATTGGTTGGTGCTGGGTAGGGGTAATTGGCCATTGCATTTGGTCCTGATGTCCACCATGGAGTTGTTCTGTTCAATTTCATACGGATTTGTTCTGCGGGATCATTCTGAGGCCAAGATATTATGTTTAGTTTGGTTGAAAACTGTCTCAATAGTCAATAGCCCCAGGACTTTGTTCCTAAGACTACTGGATGCTGACCAGAACCTCACTGTCCTAAGGGCTTAATGATTAAGGGAGAGGGAGGTGAGTGAGTCAGGGTGCTAGATGAGGCCAGTTTGAGTCAAAGGGGAAAAAATAAAAATAAAGGGCAGATTAAAGAAAATAAGGTTTCTGTGCAGTTACAAACTAAGACGCCCATGTGGGTTCAGCAGCACTATTCACAATAGCCAAAAGGGAAGCAACTCAAGCGTCCATCAAAGGATGAACAGATAAACAAAATGGTGTAGATACATGTGTTCAGAAAAAAGTATTTATTTGACAACTTTACAAAAATATTTAGGCACATAATTTTCCTGTTTATGTCACCTGATTTACATATCTCAATCCTCAGTACCTCTTAAAAACACTAAAATGGTCATTTGGTAAATAGAATTTATACTGAAAAATACTATAATAGGCCAACATTTATAGACAAAAATCAGTTGATCACCAGCATGAGAAAGCAACATTTATGAACAAAATAATCTCTAAAAAACATTTTTGTGAGACGATAAATCTAACCAGTAGATTTATATTAAGTATTTTCAAAAAAGAAAACTAAAAAACAACAAACCCACCATACAACATCTCTTCATACCATGACGAAGTGGCATCCTCACAGTAAGCACTAGAAGACAGGTTTAGGGATTGTGCCAGAGGTTCACAAATACCAACAACCGAGATGGACCAAGATGCAGACGCAGCACATCATCAATGCATTTAATTTGGAGAATGGAAGGAGGAATGATGGGCCTGCAAGGAGCTCCTTAAGGTGACAAGCAGGTAAAATTTTAACTGAATCACCATTGTGAAGGGTAATTATCTTCCTCTAAGATAGCGTAATTTTTATTTTTTGAGTATTACCATCAAAATATAAGAGTAATTTCATCCTTTTTAAAAAACAAGTGGAATCACCTGCATCACACAATGGCCACAGTTATATCCAGTAGGTATTAAAAACAGACCTTGAACAGAAACTATTTAAGCATTCTGGAAGCCAACAAAGTACAGGGTCGCACTTTTCAAGGAATACACACATTGGCCAGGCCTCTAGCATTTAAAGAACACAACTTAAGAAACTTGTTTTGCCAGTAACAAAATCTGCCAAGTGCCTAATATGTGCTAGGCATTGTGCTGAGTAGTTTCATATCCAATACCTCATTTCTTTTGAATATTATTATTTTCACCTCAGGGAGGGAAAAACCAATTAAGAGAAACAGATAATACAAAGTTATGGGGAAGCAAGAATAGGTGCAGTAGAGGGAGGAGGGACTCAGGATAGTCATAGAATTCGAAAAGCCTGGCACATCTCAGAGCCAAAAGACTAGTATGAATTCTATAAAAGTCTTCTTAGGTAAAAAAAAAGCTTCAGCTTTATGGTGGGCACCCCCTAATCAGTGATCCTGATAAATCCTTCAACTGCTGCTTTCAGTTAGGCTCTCATTAAAGAATATGAGCAAGAACCATGTCCTACTCATCTGTTTCCCCAGAGCTTACTGCNTCATTAAAGAATATGAGCAAGAACCATGTCCTACTCATCTGTTTCCCCAGGCCTTCCGGNATGAGCAAGAACCATGTCCTACTCATCTGTTTCCCCAGAGCTTACTGCTGTATATTGGTTTGATATAATTTCAAATTTACTTGTTTAGGACAAAAATTAAGTTGTTTTGAAAAAGTAAAGCTGTTTTGATATAAAAATGAAGTAAGATGTGTCATGATGACATCACCTCAGCTGTGAGGGGTGTCCCTGGGGGCTTATCAATAAAAAACATCCGACGAGGAAGCAGCTGTGGCAAGGGGCTGTGTTTGTGAAGAGAGTTTATGAAGTCTATTAGAGAGTTCTGTCCGGACAAGGTAACCCTTTGCTGATCCAAATAGCTCTCCCAAGACCACTGGGCACTAGCTCCAGCACGGCAATGGCGCCTCTTTTACCAGCAGTGACAGAAGCCTGCAGCAGCCACTCAGAGAAGGACATCTTGCCTGCCAACACCAGGGCCACTGTTCCCTAGCAATCTGCTCTAGCAACAGGCGATTTTCTTTTCTGTGCTGGCAGCTGGAAGGCAACTCTGTAGATTAAGCTGTCTTTCCCAAGAACCAACCCTGTAGAAAGGGTACACCTCAACTAAATTTGGACTTTATTTCATTCACCTTCCCTTGCCTGGAACAGCAGTGCAATTAATCTACCATTGCTTTGGAGTACGTTATTTTGTTATTGGCTTAGGAAATTATTATAATTCCCACAGTGAACATGTGTTAAAAGGTTGGCAAAAACAATCTCAGTCTCTGAGTACAATTTTACCATCCCAAACAAAATACTTAGCATAATGCCTGTCATAAAATACTCAGGAAATCTTTGCTCACTGAATGAGGCCATGATAACAGAAGCAAAGGCGAGCCTCAATTCCTAAGTATTATTCAAACACAGTCAAATGTGGAACTATTATTCTTTCCATGAAGATCATGTATCAGCTTCACTGACCTGAACTTTCCATGGATGACTGTCTGGCACAATAGCAATACAGAAAACTTTTAACCTACATGCAAGCTGGATCCTACAAATGACTGATTCATAAAGTCAACAGCCATATCAGGTAATTGGAAATCACCTAACATGTTGACCATATGTAGCCTCACCAACTAGGGTTATTCAAATCAATCTGGCACTGACTAAAAGCAAACCAGCTAAGAGGACTTCACTGTTGTTAACCCAAAAGAGAGAAGCCAGTAGTCATAGAATTTGGCTTTCAGAATTCTCACCACAGCTCATCTGTCTCACAGGGCAAATTAAGGATTTAACGCTATACTGCCTCTTTTTCCTCCCAGGAGGTAGTTAATAGGTCAAATTTTTTGACTTGTAAGATATCAACCTTGGCGCAAAATCCAGACATTCTGAGTGATGCTATATAGCTCTAGTGTACTGCTGTAACCAAGCCTCACATAACTGAAGCAAACTCCAAAAATGTGGGTGGCAGTTGAAGGGGGCATCCAGGAGTCAGAACATGTACGGGGCAAAAGCTATAAGTTGTTCTATTGCATCTGGTCGAAGTCTGGCATAGGCTATGAGCCCTGAGATCGATGTGCATTTAGCGAAGCTGTATCTATAAATTATTTTCTCAGGCAAACCTGGAGAGATGACAGATCTTCAAGAGATGACAGATGACCCCAAGAGGCAATTCACCTCCTGATGGGGTTCTAGCTCAACACCTCTAAACACATCCAAAGGTGTTTCATGATGAGAAATTCTACAAGTTATTTCTAATGTCAAAGTTCCTTCATGCCGCTAAAAGAAGGAACAGAACTGCCACAATTAGGTCTCGCAATGCCTTTCCACTGTTCCCAGACAAACCCAGGCAATGGCAGGCAACAGTCACAGCCAGCAGTGCCTATCAACTGTGGCCAGCCTGGAAGCTAGATAAAAGCTCTGGCATACAGAGTGATCCATCAGATAGAGCTCCCTGATTTTGCAAAGCCTATTCCTCTCCAACTCCAAATTCAATCAACTGCTTTCCTCCCTGAAAGAGCTCAAGCTAATTCAGCCAGCATCCCTTACTCCCTCAGAAAGGGGCAGTTCATTAATGGCAGCATGATTCAATGGAAAAAAACATAAATTTGGACTAATTAGCAAATCACCTACTTTCTTGTTTTCTCACTGGTAAAACAGGAGCAGTAAGAACCATCTTATACAAGATAACGTCCTATGTTCCCACCAGAATTTCCTCATATCAGCTGGTACTGGAAAAAAGGGAGCCTTAGGACCTCTTACATGGAGCTTATAACTTGGAAGTTGGCCATGAGGACCTAGCACCACTGGACAGGCTTTAATAAAGACAAAGCAAAATAAGGGAAAAACATAAATATGAAAATGACCTCAATATAATTTTTCAAAAATACAAACATCAAAATCTTCCAGGTGCCCTGTTGAAGCACCAAAATACTCATTGTTTAGGTCAAAGGAGCCCAGTGGAGGCTACACCCAATGAACTGGAAAGTGGTGTGTGCACCAGTTCAAAGGCACCAGCCTCCCGTACACTCCCTCAGCCCAAAGTCAGCATGTATCTGAGTCAAGTCACAGAACTGTTTAACACCCCGCCTGCCCAAAGAGGCAATTCCATGTCCATTCATAGCTGCTCCCCCAGAATGCAGCATGGTCTTGAGAGAAGCTGGCATCCTCATTAAGTGAGCCAAAGGACAAAGAATGTAGGCAGCAATAACCAAAGGAGAGAGGTATGCTCATGCCATTTAAGGAAAAAGGAAGGTGATGAGTCCAACACTGACGCTGCCAGAGAAAGACTAAACCTCAACAACACAGAAACATCTAACCAGCCTTTCCCCTCAGGCCAATACATTCAGAAATGTAAGACCCAGTCCTATTGATTTAAAGAGGAGTAAGAAGAGTAGCAACTAAAGCCAGAAAAGGGAAGCACAAGGAAATGTATGGTGGTCACCTTGCCTGCCTGCCATTCTCACTCAGAGAAGGGCTGGGCTGTATGGTTCACAAAATGCAGCCCTTCGCATGCACGGGACCTCACACTGCAGCATTTGGTTTCACACGGTTGTGGGTTAGGTAGGGAAGGTGCTTCTAACCCCAGGTAGAGATCTTTAGTTTCTGAAAACTGAAAAAAGTTCTGTGACTTGTTCACAGTTACATCTTCTGAATGGACCAACAGAGCTAAGTTCTCTGTCTTATCCTCGGTCAGTACAGCAGTGAGAAAATTCAACTACTTCTAAAACATGTCTGCACCCCCAGAACTTAGCACAATGCCTGGCACACACTACACACTCACTACATTTTAGCTGAATGAATGAATCAGACAGATGGGTGAGTGAAAGGTCTACATTCTCCACCCCTTTGTTACCCATCCCACAAAAGAGGGGACAGCAAACTCTCACTGGACGCACTCTGCTCACCCCAGGGGTTCTGAGGAAAGCCAACATGGAAAGCAACACACCTCAAAGCCCCGCCAAGTTTTTTAGCGCCAAAGTTGTTGTCTTTGGCAAATGCAGTGATGCTATCCTTATGAAGAAAATGCAATCATTAAGAAATATAATTCAAAGAGAAATTTCCAATACTCCCCGCCTTGCCAGCAGAAGGAAGGCTAAACCTGCCTCCAGACACAGCAACGATTTGAATGATGAGGCTCCAGTTGGAGCACTTCATACATGCAGCTCTCAGGGACACCTGGATATCAAAGTATGGAATAAAATAGTTTCAAAACACTGATGTTTCACTGTCGGCACAGAAGAAAAATAAATTAAAAAGCCCGGTGTGTTTTCCAGTCTGATATAAATTAATTCAAATGGCATATTTAAAATAGAGTCAATTATAAGTTCCTCTCATAAAATGTTAAAAGGCAGCAATCAATCCTCAGATTGTATAAGTGCAAAGGAATAGTATTTTCTCCATAATCAAGACACTTCAGTATCTGTGTAAAAACTGCCAGTGTTCCAAGCTGATCAGAATCTTGGGCCTACGTCGGTGAAGCAATCCTCTGGTCATACTGCTCCTTTCCCCTTAATGTCCAGCTTGTTACTGGCCTCCGACTGTTTGCTTAGCTGCTCTTCAGAGAAAGTGATGTAGGAATACACCAGGCTCCCAGCAATGCTGCAAAATAGAAAATCACCATCAGGGAGGAAGGAAGGAATGGCAAGTGTAAGGGAGACTGGTGTGAGGGGTAGAGCTACCTGTATAAATCAATGGCACCTAAAATTAAAACAGATACAGCATTTTCACCTATAGAACTAGACACACTCCCCTATCCTGGTATTATCCACTGTTGTTGACACTTTGGGAAAAATGAATGTCTGCACAGACTTGTCAGCAGGAGTGCCAATTTTATACAAGCTTTTGGAAGACAATTTGTTGAAATCAAAAACCTTAGAATTCTGCTTATCCTTTGACCTAGCAATCTACTTTCATTGATGAATTGTGTATATCCTCTTAGACTTATCGACAAAGTGTTTACCATAAAATTTATAACAGCAGAAAGTTAAAGGGTAGATGTCCCACAGCAAGAAATTATATAAAATTCATACAACAGAATACTATGCATCCATTAAAATGACATCTTAAATGAAAAAAATCTCACAAAACCTTATTACCTAATCCCATTTTATTTAAATGAACAGAATATGTATATTGATATGCACCAGAATAAAGTCTGGAAGGAACGCAAGAATATTAACAATAGTTACATCTGGATGGTAAAATTATAGGTGATTTCTTTTTTATTTGTATTTTCTGTATTTCTGAAAATAATCATTCAAAGCAAGTTATTTTTAATAAAAATGAAAATCATCCCAATTAATAACTAAACATGCAGACCCTGGGAGATTCACAGAGCTGGTTTTTCTCTGATGAGAATCGAGTTTGCAGTGGAAAACCCATTATCTGAGCTCTCAGCCTCGGAGTTGGTTGCTAGTACCCTTCACTTGTCTACCATACCTACCGCCAGGAAGGGTCACTCTTCTGGGACAGTGATTACTCTTATCTATTCTCTGTGGGGACCTCAAGCCCACCTGCAATATAGAGCTTCCTACCCCAATCACAACTGAAAGATTGGTGGAGGAGCTTAGAGAGCTAACACTCTGAACTGCCCTGACCTGCTCTCCCACTGAGCCTGCTACCCATGACTCCCTTGGGTCTCCAGCTGGCAGCCTGGCCTGGGCTCTGTTTTCAGATGTCCCTGCCCTAGGTTTGGCCCCTACCTTCTGCTTGACCACTTGGCCCACAAATTTACTGCTTATTTGAAATTAGTTCCATTTTCCTCTGGACTTTGGTGTCCTAGCCGCAGCCCCGACCAGCTACAGCAAGGTGAGAGATGCCTAGCTCCAGAAAATAAGGAAGATCAGGCACTCACAGCACTTAATAATCAAATTGTGGCCATTTACTAAAGTCTACTACATGTCAAGTATTTTACATACATTTGCTATTGCAATATTCTTGCAAGGTACAATATCTCTGCAGATAACAAACACTGAGTCCCAGAGTCAAAAGATAACTTGCTCAGGGTCACAAAGCATGTTAATGATAGACCCGAATAAAACCCTGTTAGTCCAATTGTTCCTACTGAAATGGCTTCCTCTCTATGACCCCTGCTCCAATCGATATTGCAGGTACCTATCCTTATTTTGTTCCCATCAGCCTGTAAATGTCCCAAAGCCTTACTCTTAGCTCTGCAGAGTCCCTTGCACAGGTCTGGCACTTTGTAGCAGCATAGTAAATAATTGCTGGATGGAATATCGGTTATGGCCCCATTCAAAGTAAGAAACCTCATTACCCCAATCCTTGTGCCAGTGTTCACAGAGCTTCGTCTTCTTCATCTGGTAGCTTTATTCCCACCCACCTCCTTTCCCCTTCCTTCCTTCTCTCTCTCTTTTTTTTTTTTTAATTTTATCTGACTCTTCTGGAAACGGTTCTTATTTTTCTAGTGCATCAAGTAGATGACTTTTCTCTGGCAGCTGGGCTAGGACCCAAGGAGATGGTTAACTGTAGCCTTCCGGACTAAAGCTCAACACTCTTCAGGTTCACTGTACATACACGATAGTCAATTTCCATGTGCCTCAACCCCACTCTATGCCCCAACAAAGTGGAAGGAATGCCCCTTCCTTCTGCCATCCTACCCTCCACTAGATTCCCACTCCTATGAAAACTTAAAACATAGCACTGCTCTCTGTATTTTTTCCTGTCAAGATTACCTTTGATGCACTTGTCAAGCAGAATCCACCTGGAAAGAAATAATGGAGCCATGCAGGATAGAAGACACGGAACTTATTCCAGGCTTGGTCCTTGGGGTGATCCTGGGCTCTACGTTTGTCAGTGCGGTTAGTATAATGAAGAAACATGGACTCTGGAGTCAGGCCTTGGTTCAGATCTTGAATATACTGATAGCTCTGTACCCCTGGGCAAATTTGTTAATTTCTCTGAGATTTTACTTCTGTAAATAAGAATAATACTATCCATCTAGGCTTCTTTGAGGTGAGAGCACACATGAAGAGCCAGGCCCCGAACCTGGCACACAGTTAAGCAATCAGGAAATATTCATTCCTTCTCTGTGAGCTCTGATACTCACCAACCAGAGGCGAAATGCCATGTTAACAAAAGATATGGTGGTATAATCAGATTTAACCTGATGCAAGAGGGGCACACTGTTGCCTCATAACCAAAGCAAATCCAAACAGAGAGAATACTGTACTCTGGAGAATGCAGAGCACAGAGAGTTCAGATATTCACAAGTTCCAATAAGAGGCAATAAACATTTTTCATCTCCTCTTTATTCCTGATAACCTTTGACCCTCCTGTTAAGCTGATCATTATCAGAAATGCCCTTTCCTGCATCACCTGATGAGAACTGAATATTCATCACAGGAATACTGTGTGCCAAGCAGTGATGCTTTGGAAAGGGATACCATACCATTGACCCTTGAACAACATGGGGGGCTAGGGGTGCAGACACCCAATCAAAAATTCACATATAACTTTTGACGCCCCAAAAACTTTACCAATAGCCTACTGCTGACTAGAAGCCTTACTGATAACATAAACAGTCAATTAACACATATTCTGTATAAGTATTATATACCATATTCTTATAGTAAAGTAAGCTAGAGGAGAAAATGTTATTAAGAAAATACGGTAGAGAACACATATAGTACTGTACATATTTATTGAAAAATGTTCACAGCAGCACAGTTTACAATAGCTAAGATCTGGAAACAGCCCAAGTGCCCATCAGTAGATGAGTGGATTAAAAAGTTGTGGGACATTTACACCGTGGAATACTACATAGCTGTGAAGAAGAAGAATCTCATACCCTTTGGGACAGTATGGATGGTCCTGGAGAATATTATGCTAAGTGAAATAAGCCAGGCAGTGAAAGAAAAATATCACATGATCTCGCTTATACGTGGAATCTAAAGAACTTAATAAACTGACGAGCAGAATAGATTCAATGACATGGAAGCATTTTGAGACTGACGAAATGTCAGAGGGAAGGGGGAGAGGGGGTGGAGGGGGAGAGAGTAACCAAAGAATTTATATGCATATATGTACAACCCAAGGACACGGACAATGGTGGGGAGAGGGACTGGGAAGGGGGAAGGAACAGGGGGGAAGGGTCATTGGGGAGAAAAAGGGACATCTGTAATACTTTAAACAAAAAAATTATAAAAAAAGAAAAAAAGAAAAAAAAAAAGAAAAGAAAAACCCACATACACGTGGACGGACCCACACAGTTCAAACCTGCACTATTCAAGGATAAACTTTAAAATTGCTTCTGAGCAGCTTTGGGAATGCAGGGAAATGGGGAGGAGGGGAAGACGAGGACAGGAAATGAAAGGGAAAAGCCTAGATTTTAGGGGGGAACTACATCTGACTTTTTATACATCACTACCCAATAATTGTGAATCAGGATCTTCTACTACAAAAAAAGAACTTCTCATTAGTCTGGCACCATAAACATTCACATGAAATTTGATAACTTCTGGTACTTTGGAATTGGTATTTCTATATCCAACCATCCTAAATATTCATTTTTTAAAATCTCAAGCAATTCTCCATCTGCCTAATATTCAGATCACATAGTACTACTGAATTCACTGAGACGCGCTGTGGCAGACACAGCCAGGAAATAAACAGAAGAAAAAGAAAAAGCTACTGTGCCCCGCAGACAGGGGTCTAGTTAGAATAATGCAAGAAGGATAGGAAAGTGCTGAACAGGGCCCCTCCTCTGCTCTGATCCCCTGCTGGTCTTCCAGAGCCATGCAAACTCAACCTGCCTCTCCTAGACCTATAGCCATGGACACATTTAACAGCCACAGACGATGAGAGAGCCATTCTACAAATACATACTAAAAATGCCTTCAGTATAGCACCTTCATGGCCAGGGCATTAGAGTACTAAAGGACAGCAGTCTCCATCTCTCCTTGTAGCTGACACGTTTGTTCATGTGTCCAGCCAGGTAGCTCTGCCTCTTAGACCCGCCTTCCATACGTAAAATGTCAACCCAATTCAAAACCTATGAACCAAAACAGTTTGACTTCTGCTGCTATTTTTGAACATACATATTTCCCACCCCATAATTTAATGTACCTCTGGGTACAGTCTTCCTACAGCAACAAGGGACACCCCATCTTAACTCCCACACAGCAGCTGCTTGGGGAGCCTTTTCTCTTCTGTCTCACCAGCCAGAGACAGCTGTGCTGCCTATATATTTTTCACAGCCAACATTTGTCACCAGCAAACAGGTCACTCAATTATCTCTTCCTTCATTTGCTGTCTCCTCTACTAGAAGGAAAACTCCATGAAGGAAGAGGGTTTTGACCAGTTTTGATAGCAGCTCTATCTCCATTGCCTGAAACAATGTTTGGTGCCTGGCAGGTACCTACGATACATTTGTTTATGAGTAACTCTTCCCAGCTAGATTACAAATTCCCTGAGGATGAAAATTAGTCTAAGGCTTTGCATGCACTAAGTAGTCACTTCCTTTAATAAGTGTACAGAAAGGGTTAAGCAATCCTGGTTCTCATGCTGCCTGCAAGGGCAAGAGGATAAACAGATCAGGCAGGAAGCCAGCAGGGAGACTGCAAACATTCAAAACAAAATGGAGCCATTCTAACCTCTTATCCCATGTGCCTTCACATGGTTAAATTATAGGGCATATTTTTAAAGTCCAATCAGGGTTAGAATCTCAGCTCTGATTCTTACTATGGCAGCTGTGTGACTTTGGGAAGTTATTTCACCTCTCTGAACCTCAATTTCATTACTATGTGAACTGGGGGGTAATTAAATGAGATGGCGCTATAAAGGTAGCCGTCATCTACTAGGTACTCAACAAACATTAACTTCCTATCTGCTGCCTTCCCAGGGATCTATTTATGTCCTTTCTATACTAAGATAAGTGTTGGTCTGTACACATACTTTAAAAATAGAAGTATCTTAGTCACAGAATTCTGGCCAGGATGTGAATCATTCTATCTGCCTAAGAGTTTTCAGATAACCTAATTGGTACAGACACTTTCAAAAAAGAGGAAATTTTTCATAAAGATACACTTACTATACAACCCAGGAATTCCATCCACTCCTAGGTATTTACCCCAAGTAAAATGGAAACTTATCTCACACACAAACTTCTAAGCAAATGCTTTAGCAGCTAATACAAAACAGCTAAGAACTGGACACTTGTCTTTCAGTTGGTAAATGGATAAACTATGATATATCCAAAATGGAATTCTACTCAGCAATAAAAAATTAAAAACTACTGATATATGCAACAACATAAAATCTCAAATGCAACATGGAATATGTTAAATGAAAGCAGTCACACCAAAAGCTACATATTATTGTTATATGACATGCTGGACACTACATGGATAGAAAACAGGTATTTATTAGGGGCAGAGGTTCAATGGAAAGGGACATGGGGAGATTTTGGGGTGGTGGTGATACAAGTGTTTCATATCTGAATGTGATGTAGTAGTTACATTACTATGCATTTGTCAGAACTCATAAAACTGCACATTAAAAGGGATGGATTTTACTGTATTTAAGTCTATATTAATTTTTTTAAATGGAAGAAAAAAAAGAATTACAGCTAAAGATGAGTTCCAGAGATTCTAAGAATTCAGCCTGGGTTGTTACAAGGACGATGATGTCATTACCTGGAGAGGCTACATTACTCAGGCCAAAGCGCAGGCCAGAGCCCAGCCACTTACAGAAGTACAGAAACATTCTCTGTCACCACCCTTCACTATTCATTCCCACCCTCTCTGTTACTTTCTTAGGCTTGGATGAGCACCCTAGTAACTGGCCACTGGAAAAAGGCATTTAGAGGGAGTTGGAGACAGCCAGACTTTCAACAGAGCCCTACTTATGTCAGCCTAATCCAACATCTTGAGACAGAAATTGCACTGGAAGAACTTTCAAGATGCTGGATTTGATACATGTTAGGATGACATAAATTGTAACATTCCAATATACTCAGGAACTTAAGTTATTTTAAATAGCTTTCAATGTGAAAAAAAAGATACCTAATCTTTTTTATAAGATTATCTTATAAGAGATTTAATCTGTAGAGATCTAAAAATGAAAACAGAAGCTTTTACTTCATTTTGGCTATCAGGTTATTTATTTTAAGGGGACAAAAAAAAAAAAATTAAGGCATTTCTGACTCAGGTCTATATAGTGTCATAATGATTCTTTAATCCAGATTTTAAGAAATGAATGAAACTCAGGCCACACACAAAGTAAGAACTGTTTCACCATTTTGCTCCTTATATCTTGGCCCTTCCTCACAAATTTTAATGAAAGAAATAGACATTTACTAAGTAAGCATAGATGTCAAGCAGTGAATTAGGTACTTTAGACTCATTATTTTATTCTAAAAACTCTAAAAAGGTAGGTATTTTCATCCCCAACACATAAGAAAACTGAAGCTAAGAAAAGATAAACAACTAACTCAAAGTCACACAGATGGCAAGCTTCAGCACTGCAACTCCAAACAAGGTCTGGACCCAACTACTCATCTTCTCTCTATAACATGCAATTCCCAGACGCACATACATGCCCACCATACCACCTACGCCTAATTCCACAAGTGAAAAACGATCTTTCCTCTAGAAGGCTGTCAACAATAGTGGCAAAAAAGATGTCAGGAAAGGAGCATCAATGAATTATTAACCTATTAATAATAATTGTGTTAAATTCTCATATTGGTCCACAAGAAAGGTAGAACAGGTGTTATCACTTACCTTTGAAGAGATAAAAGCTCAGGGAGGTTAAATAATTTGCTGCAAATTAGAAAGACGACAGTACCATATCCTAGTAGAGAGCTTTATAGTTCCCAAAGTGCTTTTTCAGCAATCCACACAGAATTCACCCACACAGAATTCATAAAGCAAATATTTATTCAGCAACTACCAGGCTTCATTCTAGGAGCTTGAGAAACTTGAGTAAGCAATACAGGCTGAGAGCCCTACCCTCATGGGAGTCACATTCTAGCATTGGAGCAATAAATATAAATAAGCAAATTATATGGTATATTAGAAAGAAAGTAAGTATCCTAGAAAAGGTAAATAGAAAAGCAAAATAAAAGGGTTTGGAAGTATCAAAAGGGGAAGAGTAGATTGCAATTTTATTTTTTAATTAATTAATTTTATTAAATTTATCGAAGTGACATTGGTTAATAAAGTTATATAGGTGTCAGGCATATAATTCTACAATACATCATCTGTATATTGTATTGTGTGTTTACCACTCCCAGTCAAGTCTCCTTCCATTACCATTTATCCCCCCTATACACTCCCCCTACCCCCATAGGTTGCAATCTCAAATAAGTTGGTCAGGGTAGACTTCCTTGAGAAGATAACATTTGAGCAAAAATTTATAGGTGTAAAGGAGTTACCCATGCAAGTATCTGGCAGTACAGTGTTCCAGGTAGGGAACTAGCCTATACAAAGGCCCTAAAGTGAGCATACACCCACTTTAAGGGAACAGCAAGGAAACCTATGTGGATGAAGTGGAGTGAGGGAGAAGAGAAGCAGGAGCTGAAATTAGAGAGGTAAAGAGGTAGATCCTGTAGGGCCTTGTCAGGACTTCGGGACATGAAGAGCCTGGGGCAGGGGTAAACAGAAGGGTGGTATATTCTGACTTACCTTTTATAAGGAATATACTGTCTACTCCACTGAGAACTGTGGGACGGGATTTGGTGGCTGTGGTGGGTGGGAAATGAGTCAAACCAGGGACAAGTGTAGAAACTAGAAAGTAATTTAGGCAAGAGATATTGGTGGCTTAGATGATGATGGGAGGAATGCAGGTGGTAAGAAGTGGTCTTTTTCTGAATATATTCTGAGGTAGAGCCAACAGAATTTTCTAACACCCTAGATAGTGGGTATAAGACTGAAGAGTCAAAGATGACTTCAAGGTTTTTGAAGTGAAAGGGTAGAAGGATGGCATTTCCATCAACTGAGATGCAGAGGCTTTGGGTGGAAGAGACTTTGGAGAAACTAAAAGGAGTTCAGTATTGGACATGTCAGCTGGAGATATCAAGTGGGCTATTAGGTACACAAGCATATGTTCAGGACAGAGGTCTGGTCCAAACACAAATTTGAGAATTTTTAACCAGATAAACAAGTTTAAAACCATGAGATTCAAAATTCTTCAGCTGAAAAAGATCTTTCATACAAGTCACCCTCCTCACTGATGAAGATAAATAAAGCCTAAAGAAATGCAGTGATATGGCCAAAGTCAGACACATATAACACATTTCTAACAAAGTTAGTGTTCTTTAGCCCTGCATTTTCTTAATAACAGTGTACTGCCATCTAGCATACTATAAAGGTAGGTGTATTCTTTGAAAAGCTAAGTAAAAGGAGTTCAACTTCCAGAAAAGGTTCCCCAACTATTATGCATAAAATATGGAACCATTTTCTCTCTTTCTCAAAAAGCACTATCTTAAGATGTTAAATATATAATATATTGTAGGCACTCCATAACTGTTTGTTTAATAAATGAACACACATTTGACATTAAATAGCCCAACCTTACTGTGACACTATTTGAGTACCCAAATCCCACTTGTCAAGGTGGTTATATTTAAATATTTTTACTTACCTGATATTTAAGCCAATGAAGTTCGTCCATGTGAAAATATAATCTCCACCAAAGACCATTCCAATATAAGTTATTAATATATTCTAAAAAAAAAGGCAATATACTGTTACATAGGTTTAACTGAGCTTTTAAAATATATAAATTCATCCATGCTATGACCCAAATACCTATCCTTAATGCAAAAACAAATAAGCACACAATAACAAAAATCAACCAATCCTAAAATGAGTGTCGTATGAGCAAGAACACTAACAAGGAAACAATGACATTAGCCTTTTCCCAACTTTTTCCCTACAGAAGCTAAATGCTTTCACCACTACTAAAAAATGCTAACAAGATTATCAACAAGAGCTGGTGTTCTCAAACTTTCTCTGCTCTGTGGTATGGGCTGACTTTATAAATCTAAATTGAGAAACGCTGCTGTTGCTAGGGTAGAAAGCACTAAGGCGTATCTAGCAACCTTAGAAAAGAATGTTCTTTCTCCCACTGAGATAACTGTGGACTAGTGAGGGCAGAGTGAGGAAGGAAAGCCTGCTGACATGCAAGGATCTTTCCCTCCTTTTTGAAAAGGACATAGGGGATGGTGGGGAGATTACCAACATGAGACAGTTTTTAGAGGAACCTTCCTTGGTATCTTCAAAAAACACATGGGAAATCATCTCAAAGTAGCATAACTAAGTCATCTCTCCTGACTTCCTTAAACTCCCAGGTGTGAATGTCTTCTGCTTATCTGGCTTCCCTTTAATTAAACTCAGACCATAAAGGGGAAATAAAATTTTCCAAAGTTATTCAGTTCTTCTCTAACCTCCATTCTTTCACATTCGTAAGTCACTTCATCCCTCTCTGCCTTTACAGCTGCCATAAATGCGAAATGTCATAAGCATTTTCAGTACCTGCGTTCTCCCAGATTAGGCCTCCGAAGCAGACAGGAAAGTGTTACAGTGATTTTGTGTTTGTTCATTTTGTTTTTTTAATCCTCACCCGAGGATATTTTTTTCCACTGCTTTTCAGAGAGAGGGAGGGAG